TTCCCAGGTGGGACTAATTTGAACTTCAGTCCCAGTGTATCTTCTGTATTTTCCAAGATATTCAGTCTTTTTGGACTCTTGCTGAAAAAAGAATATAATGAAGAGTCTGGAGCTCGTACTCGCGCTAGTTGGAGTAGATGGCCTTTGCAGTGTGTATAGGAGAGATTAGGGTTACACTTTTCTCTGAGCAAAGCTTGTACTCCACCATGTCTTCCAGAGAAGTTTGCAGCTCCATCAACTGCACAAGTAGCCATCTGTTTGGGGTCCAATTGACAAGCATTTAACTCTTCTAAGATGTGGGTTGTCACAGATGCAGCCAATGGGTCTTCTATAACTTTAACATCTAGAAATGCATCTACTGGCCTACCACTGACATCAAGATAACATACACAATGACTTAATACTTGATGCCCATTTGCATCGGTGCATTCATCAGCCATGTATGCAATTTTTTTGAAGGTGGTGAGAGAGGAGTTCCTCACTTTTTCAACTGTTGAGTCTTTCACTGTTCCACCACATGCTTCTAGTCAGTCAGTTGAGTTTCTTGCAGAAAGGTAGTTAACATTTGCTGGTCTTGTTCAGAACCAATGTTCAACTTCAGGATGAACAAGTGACAATGCACTTAACATTGGCCTCCAGTTTGTAGTGTGTGGTATCTCTTGCTTAAATAGAAAGTATGATGCCGCAGCCATGTTTGTTCGCAAGAACTGTGTTGTGGCTCCAGCATTCTTAACAGCCTCATTACCATTCATCCTTGGTCAGTAGAGACTCAGAGGTGCTTTCACATGAGTTCACCTCCCAGGTTGGGGGCAAGAAGGCACCTTGCTCGTTCCTCCAGCTGCTCACTGTTCGTTCTGGCCACTGTTGCTCGTTGTGCTACCATTCACTCCATCACTCTGTTGCCAATGGCCCTGCACTGTCACCTTCTGCTGCCACCTGCCACTGTGACCTCTGTGAGTTGCTCTCTTGAGGTTCCACCCAATTTTCAGTGATTTCAGCTGAGCTCTCAGTGGGGGAACCTCACTGCTAATGCAGACTGGGCCATCTCTTCCACAGAAACGCTGTCCCACAGCAGGTCTAAGCTCTTAGACCTGATTATCAGTGATTTCTGCTGTAGTGGTCACTTAACAAACCAAAAGATTATCTCTGGAGCCTAATGAGTTCTGTTTTTAAACAGTGGAGAGGGGCAGGTCAAATACTACTTGTGACTCAGGCAGACCATCAAGCAAAACACCTGTCTCAATCCTCTCTCTTGATGCCCTCAATCAGCACAGGCTAAGTACAGTTCTACTGCCCTTTACTCATACAGTAAGAATAACATTTCATTACCACCCCCTTCCGCATTCAAGTGATTTGTAACCCTACCCCAGCCTAAATCTATCACGTGGGCAACAGAGCTCTGTTTGCTGGATACCTAGGTAGATTAGGTGTGAATGTAAATACAGTCTGGTCCTGAAGCCTTTCTCCCCAGTCCCAGCTCATCACTAGCTGTCAGGGAGAGCTCATTTAGACTTTGCTTACAAATCATCATTTGAAATTATTAGGTTGGCCAACATCACCGAACTGAATGCACTGACATTGTCATAAAAACAACAGCTGTATAAGGAAGCTAGTCTATGCTCATACTTTTCAAATCTATTATACTTTTTCAGATACCTGTATTTTATCATACACTGTCTATGCTTTTAAAGTGTGTATTAATGTTTCAATTCAAATGTCCAAACAATCACTAAATTGGCAACACTGCATGTAACTAGTTCACAAAACTGGGGGGAGGGGGAGGAGGTGGGGGTGTAGGGAAATCCCTGGCAGAGCCTCTGTCCTTGCCCAGCTCCAATGGCAGGGATGCCTGAAGCCCCAGGCCAGCTCTGCCATGGGCAGGGCCCAGAGCCTAGCAGCTGCTGGAAGCTCTAGAGGAAGCCCTGTTCTCCTGGCAACCCCCACTGGTGGAGATGTCTCTTTGGGCTGGCGAGGGGCTGGATTGAGGTGCTATGTGACAAGTGGATGGGAGCTGTTAGGGCTTCCCCTCGCCCTCCCTTGGTTCTTCTCACGCAGACAGAAAGCAGAAGGCCAGAGTCCAAAGTGCAGGCAATGCGATGTTTATTGGGGTTACCAAGCAAGCATATCCACAGCTGTATACACCAGTAAGGCTTTTTCCTTTTGCCCCCCTCCCATAGCAGGCTTAATTATACCTGTAGTACGCACCCCTGGTCCCACCCCTTACAATTTATGGTCATGTTCTGTTTTGGAGAGTCATGAGTTTGGGGACTTCGGTACCACCTCTTTTGTACCCCACGGGAGGGGTAGGGAGTGAGGTGGTCCTCTGGCCAGGGTCACCATTTCTTTGGGTTTCAGTGTTTCTTACACCTTCCTCCTCCCGACTGGTTGTTTGACCTGGGCTTGGGAGAGGAGTAGGATGCCTTCAATTGTATGTTCCTATATTAAACTCCCACCAACACTTTACTTCTAGTCCTTATCTTTACTCATTATGCTATAAACTCCATCTGGCTGTTGGCAGATGCAACACACAGTGGCTTTGTTCACATATGTTAGTAAGGATAGAAGAATAACAGTCAAACAGAACCCACAATTCTATCTCAGGCACATATACAGGCCTGAATGCTATAGTGCCATCACTGACGGGTGTGTGTGGGGCCTGGCTTGGCATGACGCATGGCGCCCCTACTGCCCACCTCACGCCTCTGATTGTGGAGCGCCTAGTGGGAAGGTCCTGCCCCTCTTGTGTGAACTTGTCTGGGGGTGGGCACACCTGCCTCATATATGCGCCCATGCTCCTGTAGGGAGATGGGGGGGGGGGGGGGCTTCTGCCTGCTGGGCAAATAGCTGAGTGGCTGGCCATGGAATTGGAGGCAGCTCAGCCTGACGCTGGTGCTGCCGCTCCTTTGTGGCCACCGGGTGCTGCCCACTGTCCTGAAATGGCAGCACTTGCAGGGCTGTGGGGAATGCTGACTGCAGCAGGGCGAGTGGCTGGATGCAGGGGAGAGCTGGCAGGGCATTAATGGCTGGGGGCTGCTTGGGGAAACACAATCAGCCTGCCGGAGTGTCCTGGATGCTGTTCTGGAGGCTGCCCTTGTCCTCGCCCTCCCTCTGTCCAGTCTGGCGCCCCTTCCTCTTGTGCCCATGATGCTGCAGCAGGCCCAGTGCCACCAGCTGCTACAGTGGTGCTGGTTTGCCATACCAGCCTGTCTGGGCTCCCAGCCCCCAATAGCATGGGGTGGGGGTTAGTGTCTGATGGCTGCCCACTCCCCATCCTCAGCCTGGCTTGTGCTTTCTCTCCAGGGGAAATCTCAGTGGGCTTGTCCCAGTACCCGACCCACGTGATCCCGGCCCGCCAGGAGCATGGAAGGAAGAGGAGCCGCCCACACACGCTGAAGTGGCAGGAGGACCAGAGCTGGCCCCGCTTTGTTCACCTTCCCAGCTCCTGAGCACCAAGCCTGGCTGAAACAGCTCCTGGGCAGGGCTCAGCAAGAACTGCTGTGCCCCCACAGCGAGCCCACCCTGGCACTGAACCCCTCTGCATGGAAGCTAGCCGTAGACTGTATTAGGCTTGGCCCCTGGGCTAGCACCAGCCCTGTCTGGTACCACACTGCCAGGGAGCCATGTTCATTTGATTAATCACTGTTAAACTGCTAGGCAATGTATCCGGGGTAACTGGCAAAGCTGCTTTCCCAAGCATGGCCCATCATCCTGCTGCTACACTCCCTCTGTTGTGGAACCTCACAGCCATGCATGGGTGTTAGACCAGTACTCTGCCACTGCCCGTGCCAGGGAGATAGGGCAAGTGGCCTCCAGCCAGCTGCTGAGTCCATGCAAGCAGCAGACTGTATAGGTGGCTGCTTGAGTGGCCTGGAGCATCTTGTGAGCTGGTTTCCTCCCAAACAGGGTATTTGATGCAGCTGTAATTGTAGGGGTGGTAGGCTCCATCCACCCTGCTCTGGGGAAAACGAGCCCTAGAGAGCAGTGCTTGTTTCTGCTGCTTGTAAATACAGCATGGCTTTGCCTGCAGGTCCTTCCTGCTGGAACCAGTGCATGGCAGGGAGGTCAGGCTGCTTTTACCCTTCTCCCCTGGGACTTTCACCCATTCGTTTGGTGATAAGCAATTTCTGAGGCAACATGACCAATGTGTCAAATCCCTGTAAGCCAGAGCTGAACTGTTGCTGCCCCCCAGGGGCACTGATGGGAGACACACCCAGCTTAGGCCTGCTGTGGGGGGGAACCATTTGTAGAGCAGCAGTGGAAAGGCCCCCAACTTGGCCAACGTTGACTGGGGTGAGGCTCTGCTGTAGGATATGTATATAGTGACTGAGTGTAATCCAGGGGGAGAGTAGTGGGGCCCTGGACTAAGGCAGGCCTCCCATGGGGCCAACATGGCTCTAACTTTGGGAAGAAATGAAGTTTAAGAAATGCAGGGCTCCCTCACAGGGGGGTCCCTAATAAACTTTTTTTGCCTAGTGGCTACTGTAGTCTTTTGCCTCCAAGGACCTTAATGAATAGTGGCAGGTCAGCGCTGCTGCCTCCCCCCATCCCAGCTCCCCTTCCACTGGGACCCAGGCTGCCTCCAGCTTTGCCAGTGCAAGCTTCTGAGAGGCAGGCAGCCGCCCCGGTGCTCTCACACATCCCCACACCTAGCCATTCCCATGGGGAGGGGGGGGGTGCACTACCCTCACTGTGACAAGGACACCAGTGGGAAGAGCTTGCTCCATAGGCCCGTCTGGCTGAGTTTCCCCTGCAGTGACCTGCCCGCCCACGAGCCTGGCCTCCCTGCAGCACCTTAGTAAGGCCATTCTGTCAGGAAGAGAGGAGTGTGTGGTGCACGCTTCACAGGGGCAGCCCCAGCCCTGATACCGGACACACCCACAGCCAGTTTTGGCTTAGTATGGGTCAGGGACCAACCATCTCAAACCACACCAATGGCTGGCCTGGGTCCTCAGTGCAGCCTCTCTTCCTTGGCATGCAGACACAGATGAGGTCCCACCAACCTCTGTAACAAACTTTATTAGTCACATTGCTTGGGCCAAAGCCTTAGCCTGGCTTTACATCAAATCAGCAAGGGACCCTGGCACCTGTAGTGCCCCTCCTACCCCAAATCCAGGCCTCTACCCCCATCCCAGGACCAGCAGCAAGGAGCTGCCCTTGCCTCAGTGCTGACCCAGGGCACGTGAGAGCCCCCAGGTCCAAGAACCCCCTCACCACAGCCATTGTGTTCAGCAGTAAACAGCTGTGCGGGCTGTTAGTAGAAAGGGCTGGCTGAGGCTAACCTCACCCCCTACAGCATCACTAGCCCTGTGCATCTGCTGCAGCTCCCGTGGGAGAGCGCAGCCGTGAGCTACAGCACAGGCACCAACAGCAGAACCAGCAGGGCTTCCTGGGGCTTTTGCACCTGCTGCTTCTGCAGAGCAGGACAGGGACCAGTGGATGCCTTCAGCTCAATGCTGGGGATTCCACCAGCCCTGCGCAGCATGCAGGGAACTGAAGTGCAGCCCCAAACCATGCAGTACGCTGTGATCCACTCACTGCATTCCTTTGCTAGGCTACGGCCCTGGGCCAGGACAAGGGGCTCAGCTGCTTCCCCCTCATGGTAGGCTGAGCTCTCCTGGGTGTGTGACCCAAGCACCAGGAGACCTGCCCCTCTTCACCACCATGCTTCCAGGACCGGGGACTGAGGGGCTGGCACTGGGAGCTAGTGCCCAGCATGTCCTGGTCCAAGCCCTTTCCTTTAGCCGAGCCCCAATGCCTCGCTGCAGAGCCACACTCACCAGGCAGGCAGGTAAGTGGCCACAGCACCCAGACTGGAGGCTTTCTGCTTTAAGGCAGCAGTCCCATACTGCTTGGCAGCATTGCCTCAGCTTGGCCCTCTGCTCCCTGCAGCTGACAGGTGCTCACAGGGGTGGTTACCAGGGAGCAAGCTGACCCTCTGGCTCTTGGCCTGGTCTGAGGCAGCCGGCATCTCTCGTACATGCTAGAGGAAGCAGCCCTAACAACGGCAGGAGCCTCTGCTGTGCGTGTCATGCTAATAGCTCCAGCCAGGCCCTGCAGCACAGAAAGCAATAATAAATCCATAGCCTGGAGCCAGTGCCTGCCCTTCCCAGCACTGGAGCAGTGCCAGGCTGACCTGTCAGCGAGCCCTGAGTGCCAAGTCCTCCCCGCGCTAACAGGGGAAGATGACAGGGAAGAGGCAGCCGCCGCAGAAGGACTGGCTTGGCCCTGTCTCCTTTTCACCTCGAAGCAGAAGTTTCCCTCTTGGGCAGTGAGCACCCTGGTTTGACTGGGCTAGGCAGAAGCTGCTGCTGCTTGTCCAGCTTGGTCTCCCACCCAGGCAGCTGGCTGCTCAGCTCTGGGCATCTGCAGCCCTTCCAGGGTCCAGCGGAGCATGCACAGCCATGTTCATCTCGCCATCACACAAAGCAACCCCCGCCCCTGGAGGCACTCCAGCAGGACTAGGAGCCAGTGCTCTCCTTGTGACTGGTAAAGTGCAATTGCATACAATGGCAATGCCCCCTCCCCACCCGCCAGCTAAGAGCTGAACCTGGCAGAGGCTTAGCCCAAAGGGCTTGTGACAATGGCACTCACTAAACATTCCTCAGGACACGTGATCCAGGGAGGCTGTACTCAGCCACTAGTGCTCCCCCAGAAAGAAGGGCTGCAGAGCCAGTGAGCTCTGCGGAGCCCAGCCTGAGGCAATGGCAGAACCTTGCACTGAGGAGTGAGAGAAGGCTGCACTGGGACCCTGAAAGCTCTTAGCCAAGACAGAACCAGCCACTTCAGTGCAATGGGGCAGGAGACTGTTGGGATGACAGTGAGATCAGCTTCCAGGCCAAGAACCCCAGTGCATGTGAGAGCCCCCTGCACAGACAGAGCAGCCCTGGCAGCTGCTGGGTACACTAGCACTGCAGTTCTTCCCACAACATACCCAGACTGGTGAGAGCTGGTGCAAGGGCCACGGACGTGACAGGAGCCTTTCCCTTGCCCCCCACAGGCGCTGAAGCAGGCCGTCAGCAGGAGAGAGAGCAGGCAGGCTCCATGTGACAAACATCTCAGCAGCTCAGGCTCTTCCTCTCAGATGGGTAGGGGCGCTAATTGCTGCATCACAGCAGCAGTTCCTATGCTGCACTGGCCTGGGGAGGGCAACACAGAGCCATTCTGCTATGGCCTAAACCTGGGAAACTCCCACCTCTTGGCCCCACAGAAGTCAAGGCTCAGCGTTCTGGGGCCTAGGCCCACAGCTCGAGAGCTGAATGTTGGGGATGGCGATGCCTGAGGTGGGCAGGACAGTGTGTGTGTGGGGCGGCGGTTGGGTCTAACCCTCCAATGCAGGCGGGGGGGGGGGGAAGGAGAGAGAGTGTGTGTGTCTCTCTCTCTCTCACCCTGGTCTCTGCTCAGGGGAGCCATGTGCACATTCCAGTCCCATTAGCTAAGTGCAGGGAGGTAAGAAGCCAGCCCAGGCCTGCAGAGCTCAGGTGCACACACACCCCTGCACTCTGCCCTGAAGCAGGCCATTCTAGAGGGCCTTGGCACGGGGTGCAAAGGGAGAGTGACATGGCTCTGCCCCACCGCAGGCAACCGCCGGAGGAACTGGCAGGCAGAGGGGCTGGGGAAGAGCTTCCGACAGCTCCTTCCCTGCTGTGACTCCCCCATGGGGAGCCAAGCTGGCAGGCAGTAGACCAAGCCAGGGAACTCAGAAAAGCCAGAGGACCCGACAGAGGTAGGGTACGAAAGGGTGAAATCAAATCTCACCAACAGAATACAGAGGGAATAGCTCAGACATCCAACAGGGCTGGGCTCATCCCCTTCCACCCCTGCCAGGTTCAGCTAGAGCCAACCACCAGTTGTTCTTAGGCCTGTGGCCCACTGCGTGCAGACAACATGGCATTCCTTGTGTGCGCTACGCGGCGAGACACACGATCAGATGGGCTTGTACAGCAGAGTGGTGACATACTTCTTCTTGTAGCGGTGAGTGGCACTGAGCACCATCACGCCGTCCTGCAAGAGAACACAGCAGAGTGCTAGTGGTGCAGATCATACATGCACCACGGCCCCAGGATACTTCCCAGTGCTGGGACAGTTACACTGATGTAGTAAGGAGAAGGGAGGGAGAGACAGCTCCTAGCCAAGATCTGAGACGAGGAGAGTCACTGAGACAGAGAACAGGGAGCTGTTGCTAGCACCAGCAGTTGCAGAGACTGCTCTTGTGCTGGCTGGACTGTGGGAAGGCAGAGAGAAAGGTCAGTGCTAGAGGAGCAGAGGAATCAGAGCGACACAAAGACAAGCAGAGACAAGTCCCCGGAGGTAAATTCCAAGCTAGATCCTGATGACCATGCAAGTTGGTTGTGGATGACAGAAGGGTCTGGTAGCAGTGCTCTGGGCGCAGCATCTGGTACTAAAGCTGTCCAAAGTTTTCCGACAAAAACGCCACGTCCTGGGAAAATGTCGATCAGCACAGCGAGTCTGGCTGAATCGGTTACCGATTTAACTAAACACAGGCAGGTCTCCCTACCCCACAGGGGATGCAAAGGCAGAGCGCCAGGCTGCTCTGCCTCCCCCCCACAAGCTCCGGTGAGGGTGGGACAGGCGAGACCCTCCCCTGAGAGCTGCCCAAAACGTTCTGTATTGGTTCACCCCAAATGGAGTCTCCGGAAATACCTTTTCTGACTGGCTCTGTTCAGCACATCCTGCACTTTGTGGTGGGGACTACAGGGTATCAATGGAAGTGACAGCGAAGCACAGCACCTGCAGGCTGCGATGAGCAGGGGCCAACAGGCAACTGGGACCAGTGGGACGGGCTGGGGAGTTCAGGAAGACAGTGGAGCCCACGTGAGTCTGAGCTGGGCAGGCAGGCAGAGCAGTGTTTGAAGCTGCGGCTCTTGCCCCAGAGAAGCGCTGTTCTCAGAGACATTAGTGAAAACATTCCCCAAGGCGAGCAGGGAGTGGTCAGGGCCTTCCAGCCCTTCCACCCAGAGCGATGGCAGAGCCCCCGGCACAGCTGCCTTGCCTCCTCCTAGCAACAGCAGCTAGGCCAGCCCACAGGGACAGACTTTGGGAAGCCAAAGCCGCATGCACCTCACCATCAATCCCAGAGGGAGCCTTGCAGCTTCCTGCTCTGTCTCAGTCACTCAGCTCTGGGCTGGCACCCTGCCTGTTTGCCAGTTTCTGTACTGCCACAGGGGTAGGGGATGGGGGGAGGGGGACGAGAGTGTCTGCCCATTAAACACGCCCATTAAATTAGCCTGTGAGATCACATTCCCTTCGGCTGGTGGGCAGATGCCAGCTACCCCAGAAGCGCCATAACTCAGGCTGCGATGAGATTTGTATGTAAGCGGGATTCAGACAGTTACACACTCTGAAAAGTGGATTTTAATAGGAAGGACAGAATAGAACAAGGTTAGAGGCCAATGTGGAATGAGGGAGCCAGGCTGGAACTGGACTAGGCAGTAGGCTAGGGAGACCCAGTGCCTCTCCAGCCCCCACAGTCCTATACCCTGATCCACCTTGAACCACTAAAGTTTGCCAGTGCCAACTGTTTCAGTGCCCCCTTGGCTCCCTCAACCAGGGGGCTTATTACAACAATCTGTAGCCCACTTAACCCCCTCTTTTTGTGCTCTGACTGCAGGGACATTAGCAGGCCACTCTACCTGGTATGGCCCCTTACAATATGTGCTACCTATGCTAAACAATCCGTTCCACCTTGCATTTAGCGGTGACGCTCAGAGTACCTTTCCCAGACCTGAAGAGGAGCTCTGGGGTATGTTTACACAGCAAAGACAAACCCGCGGCTGGCCCGTTGTAGCCAGCTCAGGCTGCGCATCCATTTCATTGCTGTGTAGACTTCCGGGCCACACATCACAACACCCTGTAGCAGAAAGGGAAAATCATAAAAGCAGTAGCCTCTTGTAGGCCCTCAGAGGTGAAGCAGGTACCTCACCGTGTGACCATCACTTACCTTAATGGAGAGTGCATAGAGGTGGTTGAGCATGACATGGTTGGGCTCCGGTAGAAGAGCTGGGTCACACTGGAACAAGGAGAAGGGTCAGTCTACAGAGGCAAATGGGAACTGGGAGCGGCAGCCACAGACAGGCTCTCCATGCGGAAACAACTCGCAAATGCCACCCCCGGCCCATTTTAGGGTGTGCACGGATCTCTCATTTCAGTGGACATTAGACTTATACTCTGGATTTTAGCCATGTTCTATTGTCTAGAGCAAGGATGGAGCCCAGGCTTTGCACCAGAGAGAGCAAGGAGCCAACACAGAGCAGAGGTACAGCCTGCTTTGACCAGCACACAGTGAGGGCTGTCTGCTTGGATCGAGATGGAGTATTGCAGCAGTTCTCAAACTGTGGGTCAGAACCCCAAAGTGAGTCGCAACCTCATTTTAACGAGGTCACCAGGGCTGGCATTAGACTTGCTGGGGCCCACGGCTAACGCCCGAGCCCCACCACCCTAGGTGGCGGGGCTCAGTTTACAGGCCCCCCACCTGGGGCTGAAGCCCTTGGGCTTTGCCCCCGCCCAGGGCAGCGGGGCTCAGGCAGGCTCAGGCTTCCGTCCCCCCTCCTGGGGCCGTGTAGTAATTTTTCTTGTCAGAAGGTGGTTGCGGTGCAATGAAGTTTGAGAACCCCTGGAGTACTGCATGCTGAGATCCATGATGTCCTCAGGCCATACAGTTAGGAGGACTGCAGCAGGACATGTTGTAGAACTCTGTGGGGCACCCTCTGGCCACCTTTGCTCTTACTGCAGAGCCTCTTAGCGCTCAGCCCAAACTCCCCTGCTTGCTCCACACCCAGCTATGAACTCACTCACAGGGAGAGGCTGCTACTCACAGAGATGTTGGTGTCCTTGTTGAGAATGACTTGGAGGAGATGAGGAGGGAGGATGGGTGGAGATTTGAAGCGCTCCTCCGGTCGATACACATACATTTCCTGGCCATAGAGTCCTGGCGGGGAGCTAGACAGGTCTACAAAACACCAAGGAGATGTGAAGGGAAGTGTCAGAAGCTTCATCACTTGAGATGAGTTTAAGTAAGTCTGGACAAAGCTCTAGTGACATCCCCTAAGAACTCCATGAATGGACTAGAGGGACCCAGCAGGGTCTTTCTAGCACTGGCTTCTTTAATTAACTCTGGATTGGCACTGGGCTGCAAGTCCAAGAGAGCAGATGTGTGCAACAGAATGTGTCAGTTCCATGGCCTAGGCAACACCTTCTGCAAGCAGTGGCTTCCAAAGGGGATACATTTAGGTGCCAGGACCATACTAAGGGGTTGTCACTTCCTGCACTGAAGGGGTTATTTGAGAGTCAAACTGCACTGTCTTATTTCCCACTCAAGCACAAGCCTCTGTATAGAACAGTGTTTTTCAAATCGTGGGTCGCAACCCACTACTGGGTCACGGCATGTAAGGTGCTGGGTTGACTTGCTCTGGGTCAGCATCATTGACCAGGACATTAAAAGTCCCATCGGCGGTGCTGCCCAGCTGAGGCAGGCTAGTGGCTACCTTTTCCAACACCGCGCTGTGCCCCGGAAGTGGCGAGCAGCGGGTCCGGCTTCTAGGTAGGGGGCGCTACGGGGCTCTGCACACTGCCCCTGCCCTGAGCACCAGCTCAGCACTCCCATTGGATGGGAGTGCGGGGGAGGGGGAGGTGCCTGTGGGTGAGAGTCGCACCTCTGCCTAGGAGTCAGACCTGCTGCTGGCTGCTTCCAGGGTGCAGCGCAGTCCACGGTGCCAGGACAGGCGGGAAGCCTCTCTTAGCACCCGCGTTGCGCCACTGACTGGGACCCGCCAGTGGCAAGTCCGCGCCTCAACACCATGCCTCAATCCCCTGCCCCAGCCCTGAGCCCCCCCCAAACCCGGAAGCCCTTCCTGCACCCCAAGCCCCTCATCTCTGGCCCCATCCCAGAGCCTGCACCCCCAGTCCAGAGCCCTGAGCCCCTCCCAAACCCCTCATCCCCAGCTCCGTTGGGTCGCGGGCATCAACAATTTTTCTTCAGCTGAAT